GAAGATTTTTGTTTCATGTCTAATTGCTAAAGCGGTATCTTGGCCTCACGAGACTTAGTTGAAATCGCTTTGAGGTCATAACATGTTATTCGCCTCATTGATCATATTGAGCCTTAGTTTTTACCATACACTTCTCTCTAGGTCATAACATATCCTCTCTAATAAATGAAGTTTTTTTTTGCCCATGTCACTTTGTCATGAATTATGACACTTGACATTTTATGGTGTTTTTGAATTTAATAAAATCCACATGTCATTTTCTTGTATTTATCAATTTTATTTAAAAATGTCATCTAATTATGTATTTATAAGGATTTAAGAATACACGTTTCTTCCAAATTTCAATTCCTACATTTATGACCATTTAAAATAATTTTTCGTTTAGCCTAAAATTATGCTACTATTTAGCATTTAAATTCACATATATTCCATTTTTTCAAAAACTTTCCAGTATATCTATATATGTTATACGGATTTAAAATTATGCTACTAACATACTTTTTTTTTATATTTTTCTTAAATTTTTTGTTCTTTGTTTTCTTTTTTTCTAAATAAAATGTGTTTAAACATCTTTTTGAAAATAATAAAATAATAGAAGTTATTAGCAACCTAAATTATTTTATTATAAATGTTTCAAATAAACACTGGTATTACTATGTATGAGTATAGTTTTTTTTATTAAATTTATATTTTATAGTACGAACATGATGATTGTATCATTAATCTTGAGTTAAAAAATATTGTTGATGTTTTAATATTTACACTTGGATATTTAACTTTTATTTTAATCAACCCGTATAGTACACAGGTCTCACACCTAGTTTCCATAATAATAAATAGTGATAATGACTTGAAAGGGTAACAAACTTTCGACTTTGTTCACATTTAGTCACTAAACTTTTTTTCGTTATCTATTTGCCACTGAACTATTGAAACTGTTCACATTTTACCTTTGTAACCGGTTGTTACCGGTCATAAGGGTAAAATATGAACAGTTTCAATAGTTCAATGAAAAATAGATAATGAAAAAATGTTTAGTGACTAAATGTGAACAAAATCGAAAGTTCGTTTCCCTTTAAAAAAGTTCAATGACTAAATGTGAACAAACTTCCTATTGTATTATGTTTTAGCAAATTATTTATTTTTTTAAATTCGAGCAATATTTGTTGATGAAGAAATCTATGAAATAAAAAAAAACAAAACCCCGAAAATATATTTTAAAAAACGAAAAACTGAAACCGAAATAAAAAACCAATGGTTTGGCATTTTCCAAAATAAAAAATCAAAATTTTCAATCTGATTTTGGTTTTACAAAAAAATGAACCATTCTCACTGATGTGAATTATGACCATTGGTTTGACATGCGAAATTAAAGAACACACAAAGAACACGGTGATTTGGGTGTTTAAGAGATGCATTCGATTATGAAAGGTGTTTGCAAAAAATGATCTAGATCTAAATCTATATAATTAACACACACTAACACTCTCAATGTTACATCTCTCAAGCACACATCTACATGTGGTATGAACCCACCTTATATAGAGGTGTTTACATGTCTCTCTCTATCTCTCATATCACAATGGGGAGTTTTGGATAGAAAAATTCCGAATTGAGCGCTTTCTCATTTCCATTTTGGTTTTATAATCATTTTTCGATTATAAAAATGGGAAGAGATTTAGATATGGAAATCCGAAAGTTGAATTTTTGTAAAACTAAAATCAGATTGGAAAATTGTGATTTTTTATTTTGGAAAATACCAAACCATTGGTTTTTTATTTCGGTTTCGGTTTTTCGTTTTTTCTAATATATTTTTCGGGGTTTTGTTTTTTTTTTTCATAGATTTCTTCATCAACAAATGTTGCTACAATTTAACAAAAATAAATAATTTGCTAAAACATAATACAATAGGAAGTTTGTTCACATTTAGTCATTGAACTTTTTTAGAAGGAAACAAATTTTCGATTTTGTTCACATTTAGTCACTAAACTTTTTTTCGTTATCTATTTGTCATTGAACTATTGAAACTGTTCACAATTTACCCTTATGACCGGTACAACCGGTCATAAGGGTAAATTGTGAACAGTTTCAATAGTTCAATGACAAATAGATAACGAAAAAAAGTTTAATGACTAAATATGAACAAAATCGAAAGTTCGTTACATTTTCAAGTCATTATCCTTAATAAATATGGAACTATTATCCTAAATATAGGCGTGGGCAAATGAAAACATATAAAATATATTATTTTTTATGTTTGTATTAAATCCCAAAGTTAGCAACAACGTTACAATTTTGGTTTTTATGCCAACGGTTGGTAGTCGGCATGGACAGGCTGGCAATTTGGGAAGGTTGTAAAATAATTGATATATCATATATTCTGGAATATCTGAATTTAAGTATTTTGGTTTTTAATTTTAACATTTTATTTTTTAAAGGTCATGTCGCAACCAATATAAAGATGTTGTCCATTTTGCTTTGCAAATATTAACCCGAATTTACTTAAATCATGGTAGTAGAAACAACTATTGATTAAATAATAAATATGCATCGATAAAAATAGCATCCTCAAAAATGGCTGTTTAATTATTACAACCGACACTTGTTTGGGTCCCACGATTTCCAATTTTGAGGGCACACCATTTAGTGATGAAGTTTTAAATTTACCCCCAAACTAATGAGGTTAGTAACAAAGTTCCTCTAGGTATAATAAATACCACTTTACCCCATAAATAATATGACCATATGATTTTTTTTTTGCTTGAAATTACAAATATATTTGTAGATTTAAAAGGTGGTAGTGTTGGTGGTTAGACATTTATCAATTTGTATATGGAACTTGAGCAAAAAGGACAGTGAATTGTAAAAATACATAATATTAATAATTTTTAATTAAATAGAGTTACTATTGTGATCAACATAAAAAAAGTACCAACATATCATCAATTAGGCAAATGAGTCGAATTACCTTAAGAATTTGCTCAACGAGATACTAAGAAATGATAAACCAGACCATTTGAACGGTTCACATAAACCCATCCTAAACCCACATGCAATGTTAATCGTAGAACACTGGTATTATTTTGGGTGTTGGACCTTCACTGCAAAATTTGACCCTTCGACTATTAGATTTTCATTGCAGATGCGTTCAATGAGATACTAAAATCCATATTTTTGGCTTTCTTATCAAAATTTTAGCAGATTTCATGATTCTTCTATTTATTTTTATTTCATATAAGTTATTTGGAGTAAACAATTTTTATTTATCTCATGCTATTTTTTTCTAAGATATTATGAATTTGGGCTGAACTAAATACAAATATCAACTTCATGTATGAATAGCATAAATTAAACTGTCTCACATAGAAATGATGGTTTATTTACTTTGGTATTGAAATTATAATTGTCTTAGAAGAAAAAACTTGGCAAAAAAAGACCAAAATAGTCAAGGGGGCCTTGTGATATTTAGATAAATGCATAGACATAATGTATCATGGGCCACCAAAGAGAGAGAGGTTGGATGAAAATACAAAATAGTTGGAGGGTGTGGATGTGGACAATCCGACAGTGATACGGTTGTTTGTATTTAACCGATGCTGTTAAACTTAATTATATAAATAATTAATTTAATGAAATCAATGGAATTTGGTGTACGTATTTTGAAAATTTTAACATTCAGGTGGCACTATTATATTTTAATACATCAAATTATTTCACATTGATGGTGATGGGCACCCCAAATAATTTCTATGAAACAGTCTGGAATTCACTTCCTCCATTATAATATATTTTTAATTATTATTAGTGTTGTTATTATCAAAAAATGTATTCACAAATAATGTTAATTATGGTTTAAAGATGTTTGTGTATTTTGTTTTATCAAAAAATATTTTAGATATATGTATAACTGTTAAGATATATTTTTGATAATAAGTCCAAATATTTTGTGTATATTTGGTCTCAAATTTGATTCTTTGATGCCTAATAACATATACACGTCCAAATATATTAAATTATGTAATAAATGAAAACTTGCTATCTTATTATATAAATATCGTACTTTGTGATACTATTGAAATCGTACATTAGCATTGTGAATTGATCTTCCCTTATCAAAGAAAGTTTAAATTTTGTGATGGGCTATAGTATGAATGACTTTTGTGATGGAACTCAAATTGTTTTTAATTTACAAAATAAAACTGTCAGAAAAGCAGTGTTAGATTTATTTATAAGAACTTTGATATTTTAAAATCTGTGAAACAAGTTTATGTTTTTCAAGATAATCATTGTAGAGAAAATGTGTATGAAAGAAAAAACATTCCGAGATCAATTCATTTAATTTGAACATGCAATTTGTAACCTACAACACTCTCAATATAAGCTAAAACTAACATCAATTCAGTTAATTTGAACATGCATTTTGTACCCTTCAAAACTCGCAATATAGCTATAAAACTAACATCAGTTTGTCTTGAATAATCTTTATTATACTAAAAAATTTGATGACATTAACATCATCAATAGTTTTAAGATTTTTTTTTTTTAAGAAAATGTTCACCATATGTTAACAACCCAAGCTGAATCAGATATTTTTGTATAGGTCAAATAAATAACTTTAAATTTTTAAATAACATGAAAATGAGTTAAAAGGGTATATCCTAAATATACACATTTAGCATATAAAAATAATATATTTCATAATCACAATTAACATATTAAAACACGATCGATTTACCACATCTAAGTTAACACTTGGTGTGTTAAACTATTAATTAGTATGTGAAATACCATTTAAAAAAATTTATAAATTATAAAAAGATTGATGATAATTTTTTTTTAAATCACTGAAAATTGTAATATAAGATATAAAAGATACCAAAATTGTTTGTCGTTATTTTATATAACACCGACAGAGAAACAGCATGAGTATATAATGACACTTTACACACAAACACCACTCACTAAATCTGCTTATCCTTCACCTCCACCTGTTCTCCGGCATGCAGACGCCATCGGCGATTTCTCTCTCCTTCCTTCTCCTCCTGTCTATCTCCGCCGCCGTACACGGCCACAACATCACCCGCATCCTCGCCAAACACCCCGAATTTTCCACTTTCAACCACTACCTCACCATCACTCACCTCGCCAATGAGATCAACCGCCGGCAGACAATCACCGTCTGCGCCGTCGACAATGCCGCCATGTCTTCATTACTTTCAAAAGGACTATCAATTCAGACCATAAAGAATGTCCTCTCCCTCCATGTCTTCGCCGACTACTTCGGCTCCAAAAAGCTCCACCAAGTCACCAAAGGCTCCACCTCCACCGCCACCATGTATCAAGCCACCGGTGAAGCTCCAGGAACCGCCGGTTACGTTCATATCACCGACATCAAAGGTGGTAAAGTCCGGTTCACTCCTGAAGACAACCCAAGTCAAACCGATACCACTTATGTCAAATCCATTTTGGAAATGCCTTACAACATCTCCGTGATCCAAATCAGCGCGATTCTACAGTCGCCGGAAGCAGAAGCTCCGACTGCCGCACCGGATCTGAACTTAACCTCGTTGTTACAACGAGAAGGTTGTCAAGCGTTTTACGATCTGTTAACAACCTCAGGCGCAATCGGAACGTTTTTAAGCTCCGCCGACGGCGGAGTCACCGTGTTTTGTCCCGGAGACGACGCTATTGCGGCGTTTGCTCCAAAATACAAGAACTTGACTGCATCGGAGAAGACGTCGTTGTTGCTTTACCACGGTGTTCCGGTTTACAACTCCATGGGAATGCTCAGATCTAGCAATGGACTGATGAACACTCTAGCGACGGAAGGAGCTAAGAAGAAGTACGATTTCACTGTACAAAACGACGGCAACGATGTGACATTGAAGACGAAAGTGGTGAAGGCGACAATAAGCGGAACGGTGGTCGACGAAGAGCCGATCGCTATTTACACCATCGACAAGGTTTTATTGCCGAGAGAGTTGTTTAAGGGTACGGTGGAGGAGGCGGAGGAGCCGGCGCCTGCGCCAAAGGCGGCGAAAAAGAAAAAGAAGCCGGCGAAGAAGGGTGAGACCGAAGATGATGCAGATGCGCCGGGACCTGATTCTTCTGATGATTACAGTGATGATGATGCGGCGGATCAAACGGCAAGTGGCGGTGGAAGATTGGTGGCGTCGGCGGTTATGGCGTTCTGTTTTTCGTGGTTGGCTTTCGTTTGAATTTTATTTTTATTTTTTTCTTTTTTATTTTTGTCGGTGTGATAAGGTGCTAGCGGGTATCATGGGTCTTCCCACTCACGATATCTCTTCATGCAAGAATAGAATTTCTCTTTTTTTTTTTAATCATCAAAAAATATTTATTTGGTTCTATTTATCAGGAAAAGAAAAATAATGAGTTTTTTTTTCTTTTTGAGATTGATTTTATTGTAATTATTTATGCTGTGTCATAATATAGAAAATATTTGTATTGTACTATAGTTACCTACTTCTCTCTCATTGTATCAATTAATAAATGTTTAATGTATTATATACATATTAATAGATACTAATAGACGTGCTATTTATGAAAAGTTGCAAGTATTGTGATAAGCGGTTTTCGATTTTTCTTCTATTGCTTGTTATAATCAAAGATGAATAAACAGTTTATTAAAACTCTAGTGTTGGATTCAGGTTTTCTGAAGCAAAAAAAAAAATTGTATAATAGTTTTAGTACTTACATATCACACATGAGTCATTTTATTGTTTAAAAAAATCAACTTTTTTCAAAAACAATCATAATACCTTTTTTGTTATTCAAAAATACAAATTTGAAAATTGTGATGGGGATTACCCGTATATTGTACTTGGGTATATACTTGAATTAGCATCAAAGTACATTAATAATTTTATTTTCTATCATGGGTGTTCCTGAAAATAAATTTAAATTGGAGTAATTAATTTTAATAATTTCATATATATATATATATATATATATATATATATATATATATATATATATATATATATATATATATATATATATATATATATATATATTATTTTATTAATATTATTATCATCTCAAAGAATCTGCCAGCTGGTTCTTGACATGTGCCTAGTTGGAAGTAGTTGTGTTTCTCCAACTTGTATGGTATCCAATATTTTCATTTAATTATAGTGGACATACTATTATTTGTGTATTACATTTTGCAATTAATATTTCATTCTTGAGACAAATAATAGTTTTAATGAATATAAAGTATTAATAGTAAAATGGCAAATTACATGCAAATGAAAAGTAGATTTACTTTTTTATTTTAGCACGTGAACTTTTAGAAGTTACATTTTAAAATCTTATATATTTTATAATTCAATTACGACACACGATTGATAAAAGTCAACACAAACTTACCTATCCCCTTTCTATATATTCGAACCAAGCTCATCCATCCTTTTAAGTTTTAAACACATGGAGTGGGGATGAGGATGAGAGAAACTAAAATAGAATCTATAGTTATTGTTATTCTTTTTCTGAAGTGTTTGTGCATTGTTATTGTTACGAAGTAAAGTGAATAACTTGCAAAACTAAAAGCATACAAGACACAATATTTACGTGGTTCGGTCAAGGTGACATACGTTCACGGGCAGGAGGAGAGTATTCTTTATTTCAGAGCTCTCAAACAGAGGTTACACATACAATTTTCACAGAGATTCACTTAACACTACAGAATTCAATATACAAAATGACTTAACATGCATTCATATTTATACTTGAGGGATCAGACCTAAAACCCTAATGGGCGAAGCCCATTGGCCCATAGGCCCATGAAAGGTGTCAACCAATCACAATCTGCCATGCAACATCTTCTGGAGCATTCATCCTTGTATGAGCATGAACAACACACATAATGGAGCATCAGGATCCATAGTGGCATATCATGATGCAAAAGTGGAACATCAAGATCATCATGACATATCAACCATCATGGTGGCACATCAAACAATAACTCTTGAGCATCTTCAACTTTTGAGCTTCCTTGAACAATCTTGAGCATCATAGGGGACTTCATAGCATACGGGTCATCAAGGGATACCTTGGCATATCAAGGAACCAAGTGACACATCCTTGCATCGAGATGGCGCATCATGTATGATGATGGCACATCTTGATCAAGGGATGGCGCATACTCTCCAAGGTTGGCATATCTAAACTCCAAGTTGGCACATCCACTTCATAATGGCACATCCACCTCATAAATGGCATATCCTGTCACTTGGTGGCATATCCTGTCACTTGATGGCATATCATGTCACTTGGTGGCATATCAAGTCACTTGATGGCATATCAAGTCACTTCGTGGCATATCAAGTTCCAATAGTGGCACACTTTAACTTCTAAGTGGCGCATCCAAGCATAGGATGCTCCATTCCACTTCCAGTTACTCCATACCTCCTTTTAGAAGATTTGTTCCTTTGTCACTTGATCAGTTCCTTTGTAAGGAGATCCATCCCTTTCTCAGTTGTTCTGTTCCTTTGTTACATGCTCCATGAACCCCAAGTGCTACATTGAGTTACAAGTGCTATGTTGAACTCAAATGCACCATACGAATGCTCAAAATACTCAAGTCACATTTAACAATCTCCACTTTGACTTGAGCATCCTCTGAACTCCACCTCAAACAATAACCTCATCTCCCTTCCTGCCATTAAGCCCCAAAGGGGCTTATCTCCTGTAAACATCAACCAAGTCCAAGCAAAGCTTGAACTTCTCTGTGGGCAACGACTTTGTTAACATATATGCTGGATTCACCTTGGTATCAATCTTCAATATTGAGAACCTGTCTGTTTCCAGAATATCACGAATGAAATTCAATCTGACATCAATATGCTCCGTCTTCTCATGATACATAGGATTCTTTGCAAGATTTTGTTGGATTAGGTGTCTAAGCCCATAACTATAATTGGTATGTACTTGAACTGATAGTAGCATGGTCCATTTGGGTTGCCTTCACCAGAACAATCTGATAGGATGGATAATTGAGAAAGAGGTTATTTATGATTTATTAATATATTATAAGTTCTAATATATTAATATGAAATCATATTATTTAATTAGTATTGATCAAGAATTAATTTGGAATTAATTTAGTGATCGAAAGAGACTAATTAAATTAAAGGGGACTAATTATGTAAATTAGTGATATATATGGTTTGGGTTTTTGATTCATGATGGACTAAGTTTATGCTAGAGTCCATGAAGAGTTAGTCCACATAGATCATGGATAATAAGCCCAAGTGTATGGATTAGGGCTTACCCATGACTCTTGGATTCCTACACTATATATATGATACCCTATAGCCTAAAATTGGTTGCATAAGTTTTGCACTAGAATGTTCTTGGAGTTCATAACCGATTTTGTGTGCTAGTAACCTTTCTCTCAAGTCCACCATTTTTTCATGGTGTTTGTGAACCATTTGAGGCATCACACTTGAGGTGCTAAGTTCTTAAAGGCCAAAGACAACAAGCTACAACAAAGAGGTAATTCTATAACTCGATTATATGTTGTTTATGTCAATTGTAAGCTAGTTGTAGGCTTCATGCTTTGGAAAAAATATTGCATGTATAATTAGAGAAAACATAGATCTAAACCAATTAGGGTTGTATGTGCACCATAGGATGTTGTAGTATAAAAAACCCAACATTGGTATCAGAGCCTGGGATTGTTTTCTATTATATTTGATGCATGGCTTATTTTTCAAAGCTGAAAAACTGTTCTGACAGCATCTACTCGACGAGTACATGACTGGACTCGACGAGTAGGTTGTTTTTTGCCTTGAACTCGACGAGTCCATAGTTGGGCTCGAAGAGTTGGATGATCAGACAACAATTTTTTGGGTTTTTTGACCTGTTTTGGATTAGGATCATTACCAAAAAAATGTTTTAGTTCATAAAATTTGATTTTGTTGGTATGGTAATGATTATACTCATCCAATCAAAAGATAATTGTCAAAATTTCAAGATTTGTATTAGTTTATATCATAGGCTAATTTCTTGTAAATTGTTGATATGAATTGTCTTGGCTTATGAGTTTAACTAGATCATAGATAAATTATATGATAATTTTTTATTTGTTAAAATATTGATCTAAATGTTCTTTAAAGTCTTCCATAACTTGCCCTCAAGTTATGGAACATGAAAAGTTTTTTCATAAAAACCACATTAAACTCATAAGTTATGGAAATCAAAGGTTTTTCAAAAGTTACAAAACTTGCCCTCAAGTTTTGGTATTTGAAAAGTCTCAAGTTAAGAAACTCTTGTAATTAAAAAGGTGTAACTCTTGGGTTCATAAATTAAAAAAAATAATTAAATAGTTTTTAATTTTGAATTATTATATTTAGAACCTTGAAGTATTTGAATAATTCAAATTGCACCTTGTGGACTTTATTAAATTAATTAAAGTGTTTAATTAATAGAGAATTAATAATTCCATAATGACATGGTTTAAGTTTAATTAAATTAAGAGTATAATTTATTAATGGATTAAACCATCTAGTATCTTAAAAGTTTAAAATACACCCTTATACTATTATAATATTAAAAAGTTTAATAATTATATATATGTATAAGACAAGTCAATCTTACTGTTAGTAGGCCTCATTCACGAAGCCAATCTATAAGGGGATATAAGGTTACTGCCTATAAAATGGTGGTTTAATGGGTGTCCACTCTCACTCACCGCTTCCTTGATTGGTGGAGGGTCGTTAGCCGAACGGGTAGGATATGACGTTAATTCTCATTAAAAGTATAATGAAATACCAAGTAACTAAACATTTACAAATTCCCAATCTTAGTTACTTAGGAAAAATGTGAATTTGATGCTATTCCATGAAATTGCACTTTGCACCTTGCCAAGTCGTTAGTGGAGCGTGTGTGGTTAACTGACACACTAACTTGGACTAGTAAGGGTGGAAAAGGGTAGCTCGATGTTTGTCATAGATCAATGGAGCGTGTGTGGTTAACCGACACATTGATTAGGTTATAAATGACATCGAGAGTACCAAGATAATTTGCATGGTTATTCACACATTGTTTGTGATCCTCGGCATCCCAGTCACAAACTTGAAGGGCATAATCAAGATTAAACATGCCATTGAAAAGTTCAATGAATATCAAAAGAATCTAGGAATTTCAATTCATTTAAAACTTAATAACCAATTTCGTTTTTCATGGTGGAAATTGG